CGCGTCATTTCACCAGGTTCATGTGACATAATCGCGCTCCACTTCTACGCGAGTTTCAGATACCTCTGGGATTGTTTAAGGACTTCCGGATAAGGTTTCTTTTGTAGCATAGCACCTCATCTCACAGGCAACTTTGAAAACTAACTTTTATTAATGAACCCAAATTTATGTTGCATTATGAGTACTTATTTTCAAGTCATTTTTAAGCAATCAAATACGATTTTCTGCTTTTCAGCGAATTCTGTGTTCTGCAGGCGGTGATTCGAACGTCTATTTCTGGGATTTAGAAGACGGCTCACTTGTGGTAAGCAAATAGACTCTAAAGCACCATTGCTTTCACTGAATTTCAGTTTTGTTTAGGGCATCTCTAAAGGCCACACAGATTATCTTCATTGCATCTCTGACAATGGACCGAACGGAGTGATTTCAGCTGGAGAAGATGGTCAGATCCGACTTTGGGGTACGAGTCTCTGTCACATGCTTTGTCCTCGTGCCGTCGTGTTTGAGATATTTTTTGGCTTAGATACACGTACCTATGAGTGTCGCAGTGTTCTTGAACCGTACAATTCCGATTGCGCTCGTCCGCAGGTCGGAAAGTGGATTGGCGCGTTGGCATCTGAACCGCATTGGCTGGTATATACTTTAAGATGTTTCCTTTGAATTATAACTGCAAAAAATATCAGCTGCTGTAGACTGTAACGCATTTTCGTGTAACTTATTCATGCTTTGCGTATGTATTCAGTCTCATTTGCACAACTAATACTTAGATTTCACACCCTCGTGTACTTCTGTGCATTCGTATGCCTTCTTACCTACTCCGTCGCATTTGTCGCTTGTGTCAATTCTGAAATCTATGGGAATAAAAATGTTAGCGAAGGCGCTGTTTCAACCAAACAGTTGGTCATATGATGCGATTGGTAGAGCGCCGGATCCTTGGCCGATTGACCCAGGCGTGTTCATTTGATTTTTTTCATCTAAAGTAAAGTGAATGAGTACCGCAACGCGGGATGAAAGTAGGCACCGCGCTCTCTGAAAACAACTAGAACTACCTTATATTCCTGATGGCAATATCTGAAGTTAAGCATAAAAAATTAAATTATAAGCCCTTTAGTTTACTGTCTTGGTTTCTTCCCACTTTGTAGTAATTATTCTTTTTCATCTAAGATATAGTGAATAAGTATCACTATGTTTAAACAAGGCAGGACCACAGTACACTTACAGCAGTTATCTAACTGTAGATATTTCTTTAGGGAAATACAAGTAGTCCTGGCTGTTGGCATCGAATCAAGGAACAACCATAACCTCGTGAAGGAAGAATGTAACAAAGAGCACTCATGATTAAAGTTTAGGTGCTGCCGACTTCCAAATGGTTGTAGTCTTTCTTTTCGCTTCCCTTCAGGCGAGCAGAAAAGTTTCTTTGAAGCAGGGTAAAATGGTACCAGGCAATAAACGATAAACTTTCTTTATACAGCATCCTTCATCATGGATGGTTATTAGTGACCCAAGTATTTTAAGTCAACCGGACGAAATGAGAGGCTGCACTATTCGCTCTCGTGTCCGTTCTGTTTTATAGAGAGTTCGAGAGACCCGTATTGACGTTAGTTTTTTTAATGCACTTCTCTCTGCAAATCTCCTTCCATGTACACGTCTGTATTCGAAATATAATTATGCAGTATCTTATCGTATTCAGCTTTTGAAAAATTCCACGTAGTCGTTCCCATTTTCTCTGCTCAGGTTTCTAGATGCAGCGGTCTTCTAGATAAATTTGCCTCAAAAGTGTAAGCAGCTCTGTCAATCCACATTTACATTGAGGCTGGGGCCAGTATGCTGCATAATGCTTGGCTTTTTCGCAAAATCCGGAATCCGTTGTGTGATATTCTTTTGTGTATCGAGAGTAACACAGTCTTCAGTCGTCTGAGCAAGCTCAAAATTCTGGATTTAAGACACGAGAGTCCTAGATGCGCAATTAACTCAATTCCATTTAGTCCTCTGTCGTCCCCTGATCATGTAGCATGCAGCTGGGATTCTCTCTTGTAAGTATTTTTTCTGACCTCACACGGCCAACTAATGTAATTTTTATATCTCAACCTGAGGAGTCGCACGCATCTTGAGAAAGACACGTTAAGACTTTCTTTTAAAAACCTATGAACTTCTTCATATATAAAGGCTCACGTTAAGATCCAAATTGTACAAAAAAATTTTATCGCCCTCAGATAAATTGAGAATTTGGTTCATTCCGTAAAGTATAAACTTTCGAACATTGAAAGTATGGACGTACAAATCAATGAGTTGTCAGAATGTACAGTAACAAATGAGCGATCAGATGTCACTGAGCAGCGGAATACTAGTTTTGTTGCCTACAAAATGCCCACCGCCATGATGACGCCATTGCCGTTATGATCGATTAGCAAATCGGCGGGGTCAAATTATTAAAATAATCGCCGTACATCTCTATGAACTGTAGTTAGATATGCAACGACACGGCCATTCTTTTGATATTTCTGTGGCATTGAGTCTAATTGCTTCATTTGATTTTTTGACACTTTACTGTGTATCATGGCTCTTCATGTCTGGTTTAACTGTGGCTTTTGGCGCGATTGCTCGGCTTTCCCCTATTCATTGCTCAACCTGAGGATGACCGACGTGGTTTAGCTGAAACAGGTAGCTGTAATGAAGATTTTATCAACTGTCTGTTCCTTTATTTAGAATCAGTGAAACTTCATTTTTAAATGAAATGAGTTTTAGGAAACAGTATGCAACTGCTTAGATCAATTGATATTTGGCCTAATTGCAGTAGTCGTACACGGCAGGTGTTTACATGGGTTTCAATACTTAGTTATCATTAATTTCATATTCAACCGAATTCTCTAGTCCTCCTTTTTCAACCTGGTTTTAAAGCTAGCGATGGCTGTAGTTTTTCTTTTATTCCCAATCAGATGACGAAATTAAAAGTATATGCCCGTAATATATTTTTAAGAATGAAATAATAGAGCTGTAATTTCTGATTGAGTTACAGGTTTGTGGTGGAGGCCCTGAACTTGGTCTGTGGCACCTGGACTCCTTGCAGCTCGCCAAAATATTACCGGCAAGTAATTCCGAATCACATTGTGCCGCGATATACGATGACAAGGTAGTTGTAAAGCGTTGCCATTCGTGCTACATATCATAACGTGGCTTTTATAGATATTCACCGGAGGTAGCCGCGGAAGCGTTTTCATATGGGATTTTAACGGACAGCTCTCACAAGAAATCAACGTCACTTCGTCGTGTGTATATGCCATGGCACTTAACGCAAATTCTGACAAATATAGAGTATGCTTTCTTCGTTTGTGTCTGTCGCATATTCGTCACACCTTTACCTATGCTGTTCCAGGTGTTGGCTTTGTCAGGCTCCGGTTCTTCTATCGACTTTCTGCTGAATTATTCGTATAAGTCCTTTTCGGCCAATGTGTCTTTTAACGACCCTGCAGACGATGCTGCATAGTGATTTTTTTCCACATTTTCCCCTTTCATTGTTGCTACTTTATTTAGACCAAAAATATTCGTTTTCTGCAGCTTCCAACAATTCATGCTTTATCTGGTATATGAAACATATATGATTATATCAATTCGATATTGATGCTGTTATGTCGTATTTCAGGTAACAGAAATTGTACCATCTCATTGCTGAGTTTCATTTATGTGTTTTTAAATTGCTCTTTAACTGCAGCTGCAAAAGAGTGCTTGGATGGTTTTGTCCATAGGACGATCTCAGTTGCGGAAGCTTTCCAGCGAGAAATTGAAGCTGCATGTTGCTTGCAGGAGCATACATACTTAAAGCAATGTTCTATGACGCCATGAATTGCAGCTTGGACATCCTTTTGTTCTCAGAAACTCAACTACAACGAGGACAATAAAGAGAAGGATGACTCGAACAAGGATTTCAGCCGGTCCGTTAATCACTGCCTCAGTCACCTGGTTGGAGATGCAGTTTCCTGTCTCCTAAGAGGCGTACAGACGACCGCCAGAATTCTCGTTTGCAGATTAGTAATAAAGCATTTCATATTTTCACCTTGTGTACTAAGAATGTAAATGTGGTATCTGAATTGTTGAATTTCAAGTGCAAATCGCTGTGTTAGTGACTAGATGTACAACCAGTGCTGACATTCATTGTATATATGCTCCCGTGTAAGTGTCAAAATGAAGTCGTTACGCCATTTTATGAAACAAACGCTTAATTTTTCCGCAACCGTGTTTTACGACGTATTGTTCCGTCCCTTTATTTCTAGTTATATAAAGCATTCACGAAGGGCGCGGTTCCATAATATGCTCATTTTCCATAACCGCTTCTCCCTTCGGGTTGCGGTGGCAGATGCATCAAACAGTGTTTACAACGTTCCCGGTTCT